GATGCTCATAGACTCTCATCGATTTTCTTCCATAGACAGCTTTCTCGTCTTCAGGTTCATTTATCCTTTTTAATAAGAAATTCCGTCATTACAGGTGAAACCAAGGCTAAAACCAAGAGTAGTCATTCAGAGCTATTTCAATGTTTGAACAAACAATCTAAAAGGCAATACCTGGGTTATAGATTTGCTTATTTGAAAACTGGGTGGGGCCAAACAAAAGGTTCTAAACCCCAAGTTTTTAAACACATCTAAATGTAAATACAAGTATATAAAAATCGAAATCTTGTTTCATATTCATCTTTTGATCTAAAATCCAAATGTATTCAGTGAAAGACACAAACAAAGGAATTGGCCTTGCCGTTTCAATATTTTTGGGGGACTACATATATATATATATATATATATATATATATATATATATATATATATATATATACATATATATATATGTGTGTGTGTGATATGCATCTTTGACGATTTGCAAAACGTTTTCTTCAAATATGTATTTTCCATCTTCGATTTAGTTCGATATATTTCTTTGTTTTCTGTATTATGTCATCAATAATGAAACGTTAGGTGGAATTTCAATGTATTAAAGAGAAAACATATCTTAGTTTAAATCAAGGAGATTACATTTCACGGTCAATATACGAAGCGTGAATTAAATATTACAGTAGGCAATAAATTATGACGTAATATTAACATGTTTTAATTAGTAAATATTTTCTCGTTCAAATTTGAGTTTCGTAGGCTAACTGCTTATGTTATATACAAGGTAATTCATAGAAATGTAATGAAATCAATATACGTCAGTTACTGCCCGGTTCACGTATTTAATTATGAATAACGATCAAATACTGGGTCATTTTTTTTTATTTTGCTTGATAAGATCACAACGGAAAACTCACAGTAGAATTAAATCAACGTTGAAAGGAGTATATATGCACGTAAGTGCGCTCGTGTTTATAATGTAACTATAGAGAAAAATAGACTGGAGATAAATTAAATGTAAGTTGGCAACATATACTGTAATGCATATTACGCGTATCCCTTAAAAGTGAGCTAATAAAATTTTAACATATGACAAACTCAGGCAAAACGTTTCTAGGATGCTGGATCATATCCCCTACATTTTCAAGGTTCAATTTTGATGAGAAACTAAGCAACTGCATTATGTTGCGATTATATAGACAGGTGTAAAAGAATATTATGGACAGGACACGAAAGAAACGAGGAAATTCTAAAGAAAATCGGAGCTAGGAAAATACCTATAAAGGAGAGTTTAAATCCCAACGACATATTGTGAGAAAAGAGTTCTTGGAAACATTGAAGTCAGATATATGGAAACAATGAGTAGTCCGAAATTACCTAATGATACAGGGTGAATGGATCGCAGAGAGGGAATAGACAGGGATGTTGACCAATATTAGTGGTCAAGACCTGGCATCTCGGCTTCAGTCAAATTCCTACCGTCGTAATGTGGCTTTCATACGACTTGTCTATAAAAACTTTCATGGTAGTTGTTCTGATGAGCTTTCATCTATGGTACCTAGAGTTTATGAATTTAAGCGTAGTGCTAGATTGGCGACAGGGTTTCATCGTTTTGCATTCGGAATGGCTAGATATAACCGGAGGTTCTATGCTAGGAGTTTCTTCTATCGTTCTTCTTGTTTGTGAAAGTCTCTTCCGGCTTCTTGCTTCCAGTCGTCTTTGATCTTCCAAAATGTAAATGCAATGTCAATAGCTATTTACTGTCTTCTTTAGTCCTGTACGTTTATTGTTCTCTCTCCTTTATAGTGTTTTTTTCGCATATTCTCTAATACTCAGTAACCCCTTGTGTCTTAGAGGCTTTATTGTCTTGCTTGGTTTGAAATTATTCAAAAAAGTTGCTTAAGACAACAAGTGACAGAAAGTTGTGACGAGTTACCACATACATAGCACATAAAAGAAAAAAGATGTCAAATAAAAGCAGTTCAAATATAATATTCCATTAAGTCACTTGAAAGTTTACGGAAAATATCTTTTTCAAGTGTTGAACCAGTGAAGAAAGAATGCCATTGAGAAGTAATTTCAGTATGAAAGCAACATGTAATTAACGCGGGAAACGCGCACGTTTGTACATATGTCACAATCCACTATCGTACCTTTCTCCTCCCTCCACCACTACACACACGCCACACCGTGGATTAGTTTGGTTAGGTTGGCTGATTTTTACGACATTTTAACCCTTGGTTGGTCATTTAATATCGACGCCAGTCCTTCTTATATATATATATATATATATATATATATATATATATATATATATATATATATATATAAATTTTAAATTTCTTAATCCAGAATTAAATATATAAGTTTTATAAGTGAAAGATCGTGACGAATAAATGGTTTAATGTTATCCTTCATATATTAATTACCATCAAGAACATTTCCATAAGTTTATAGTACACCACCCATATATATATATATATATATATATATATATATATATATATATATATATATATACATAACGGTTTATACTTAAACATTCCATGCACCTTTTGACTTTTGTAATTTAATGAAACTTAACAAGCTATCAAGTTGTAAAATGTGTGCGTGGGTACGCATTTGTGTGCGTATGTATTTTTCCGTGTGTGTGTGCGCGTGTTATTGAGTTCCATATAGACAGGCCGGAACGATTGTTATTGGAGAAAAATCCGGACGGGACATCCTTATTCAACAAGCCGTATTATGTTTTTAGAAATTTTCGTGTGACACTTTCATTTAGGCCGAATGCGTTCTCGGAGAATGCGTTTCACTTGAGTATTTTATAAAATAACTAGTTGGAATTAGGATTTCTTGGGAGTATTATATCCGAAAAGAAGAATCATTCAGGTATATCTATTTAAAATAAAACTGCTCTGTAATTTATTCGTTCTATCGCTTTACTTCTTTTGTTGTGCACGTTTCCTCATTTAATTGTATGTATCCTGTCAACAAGCGGACCCTTTCCCATTTATTTTCTTTTTTATGTATACTTCATGTAACGATGATCTCCCTTCTTTCTTTCTCTACACACTTTTTGTTGTGTCTTTCTGTTTTTGCTTATCTGCATTTGTTTCTAATGCTTCAGTTTAAAGAACAGTATTCTGTACCATCACTTGGCAATGATTTCAGTCCCTTCTTCATCATGTCCAGAATTCCATGCGTCATCTACATCTTTTTTTTTTCTTGCTTCTCTGTAGTTGGGATGTACCCGTTCGCCGTTGTCACTAGAGCTTTTCTTAATATATTCCGCTCTAAATTGCTCATCTCATCTAAGTTGGTCTATTTGCTTTTAACTGCCCCAGCATGCATATACTTGTAATTTGGGCCATTCAAGTGTCTATCCTATCCTAGCTTAAGCCAGGCTTTGATATACTTGTATTTTCCTAATTTTACTTTGCAATATGAAGCTCCGGGGTGGATTGAAGACAACAACCAGCTGCAGAATTATAACGAAAACAATATACATATATATATATATATATATATATATATATATATATATATATATATATATATAACTAGAAGCATGGCCCGGCTTTGCAAGTGCTTGATTCAAAAATCGTACGACACATACAGCAATCGCTATCACTTGACTATTTTTGCCATTCCTTGCCTTTAAAGGAGTGCTCTTTTCCGTGCTGATGTTGCTACATGCCTTACTTCTTGTCTATCTCACACTGCGAATTTTTCTAACCTCTATACTAAACATTATATCTGTTACGAAAAAAGAGCTAAACAAAATGAACACAAAACGATCAGCTTTAAAAAAGGACTCTTTTTCACACCCAACCCAGTTTCCTGAAATATTGAGACTGGTCATACTACTATGTTTCTATTCAAAACCACAAATCCATGTTTGATTTGGCAGGGACCTCAATTTTCTTGCATGGAAAGGAAAACTGGAATGGAGTTTGCGTATCACTGGCTGAGGACTTCAGTGTAGACCACATTTTTAGCTTTTTGCGACGGTGCATAAAGGAACACATCCTCGCGTTTGCCGACTCGAGAGCAGGCAACGTAAAGTTTGCCGTGTGAGAAGCACTGCTCCTCTCAGTGTACACCAGTGACAGACAGCGTTTGTCCTTGGGCCTTATTAATTGTCATAGCAAAAAAGGGTGCGACTGGGAATTGGGATCTTCTGAAAGTGAAGGGTACGTCGGCATCTGATGGATACAAATGCTTCCTTGGGATAAGCACTTGCTGCCCTTTACCGCAGCCAGTTTGGCCTCAATAATGTTTGGGTGTAGGGCCTGAATAACCATCCTGGTCCCATTACAGAGTTTTGGTGGACGCAGGTTTCTAAGCAAGATAACCGGGATTCCCACTTTAAGTTCCAGAATGTGAGGAGGAAGACCAGCGGGGTGGAGGCTGTTTAAGAACTCCACTGGAAAGTTCGCCATTTCAGCGAGGTCTTGAGTTCTGTCAATGGATTTGTAAACGTGCAACACCCCTGGCACAGTTTCCAGAAGCTGTCTATTAAGGGTTGTCACAGTGGTGTTTTGGGGGGCAAGAATGGCCCGCCCACAAGCCACTCAATATTGTTGTAGTTGGTTTGAAGATCAGCAAAAACTGATTCCATGAGTGTTGCTGGTGTTGTGACCTCTGTAGACAACCCTTGGACGTTTACAAATCCATTAGTGTCCGCTGGAATAATACCTTCGCCAAGGGCTAATAATGTATTCGAAAATTCGGCGGACCCAACATCGCCAGTTAGGTGTGCACGCATGTTGGTGGTAAGGTGCAATGGTCTAACAGTGGGCCAAAGTTGTGACGATTTCAAGCACGCTCGAATAGCGTCGGCCCTTGTCCCCTTAGGTACAACGGGGAGGGTCTGGCGAAAGTCACCGGATAGAAGGACAGTTATACCTCCCATAAGGTCATTGGAGTTTTGAATATCCTTCAGAGAGCGGTTTACAGCCTTGAGTGCAGTTTTGGGACTGACAGTTCACTCATCCCAGACGATAAGCTTACATCGCCTGAGTGCCTCCGCTAGACATGATTGCTTGGCTATACTGCATGCAGGCCTCACGAAAAGTGTCACATAAAACGCCATTAACCGTCCGTATGTTATTGTAGCTCGTTGGATCACTAACTTCGTGCAAAATGAGTCGCAAGTAAAAACATTCCTGTCGCGATGGGGGAACTGTGAATACCCTTCCGAGTGTGGCGTCTTTTTTGACGCCTGGATAGCCCTCGACGTTGGCCCCGCGCTTCCGCCGAGCCCAGGTGTTCTTCTTTGTCCACACGTAGTATGAAGGCACGTCTGGGTACAGTAGAGTCCTAGCAAACTCGTCCTGTCGACAAAGTTTGAAGAACGCTGTAAGCGTCGTGTCTTTGGTACGCGAAGCCACATCCATTGCTGCATCCGCAGAAAAATAACGAAGTTCGTCGTTTTCTAGGTGCACAACAAGCTGGACGATTGCTGGGGAGCGTTCGTGGATGGGGAAGCTGTATATGTGTCAAGGTCCCTCTGTGCTGCTAATGACGCGCCCTGCAAGGAAGTCCTGGATTTCGTCTACGGAACCTTCCTGCCTAATACCAAACATTGCAGCATCAGTCCCTTTGTTGATGTACTTGCATACATACTTGATGGAGCGAACTAAATGGCAATATTCGACATTGATGTGCGCATTGAACGCTTTTGCTAGCAGGGGACAGTATGGCACTACTCATCTGTTATCCACTTGGTGGCCCTTTACCACGGCTGTAAATCCTCCCTCAGGGTGACTCCTTCGCCGGTACAGTGGATAAACATCGCTCCCTGTAATGGTTTCGCTCACAAAATCTCGTGGGTACTGCCGGGGGCATTTGCCGTCGCTGCTGTGACAGCAGGTGTAATTGTAATGCGACCCGCAGGGACCATGAATCATGTTGGTTATCACTATTTCGTACAATTCAGGGTCAGCCGACGGATCAGGAATTTCAGCAGAAATAAGATGTTGGATTTCTGTGGCCTCAATCTTGTCGCACTGCTAAATTAGTATATGTGCGTGAGGCATGCCGCGTTTCTGCCACTCAATAGTGTGCATGCGACAGAAAACAGCCCCCAAAACCTGTCCCTTTGTCATCACATCCATTATCTTTCTCAACTTTTGATGGTAAACGCGCGCAATGAGGTCTGGACGGTCGTAGGCCGATTGCCCTGGCATAAGTTCTTTAGCAATTGCGTACCATTTTGGGTTACACGTGAAAGTTATGAATAGGTCTGGTCGGCTGTACTTACGAACGTATGTCATCACGTCTTGCGTCCTCGCATGCTTGTATCGTGGACTGCCTGTGAACGTTGCAGGTAGTATGCACATCTTGCCTATATTGCGTGGATCAGCGTCATTTCGTAAAGCATCACGGAAGTGAATGTAAGAGTCGCAGCGCAACTTGGTCTGATTCAATCTAATGTAACAGAGTCTTTCAGATTCCGTCTTAGCAGCCATATCTACTATGAATTGATGGAAAAATTGCCGGCTTCGATGAAGATGATTGAATTCACCCTCATGTACCATCAATAGGTAGGCGTAGAAAGCCCTGAAAGACATTGTTTTTAAGGTGGACCCATTTTGCAGAATGCCAAAATGGTACCCATCTTCTCCGTAAGGGAAGAGAAGTGGGTATTGCAGTGCATCGTAGGACCGGTGCGTTTCACTGATTCTTCGGAGCCCACTGCCGCACGATTCGATAACAATGTCACGTCTGTTGTGCTGATCACCGCTGACAATGACGGAAACTTCGTTACTTGCGGGAGCATTGTAACGACGTCCGTGCTCTCCCTGAGGCCGTTTGTCAGCATCAATTACAATAATGAAATCAGAAGAAGTGTTATTTCGAGAGCATACTTAAAACTGCGGACATAGCTGTTTATCTCGTAGAGCATTTGTTAGAGACACATTATTATATCCCTGCGAGGATGATTGTGCTGGCCTGTATCGTTCTCGGGAATAATGCCTATGCGGGCATCTCCCTATTGATTGTAGTCAGCTATGAAGTATATTTGTAGAAAGGCCGAATCAGTGGCAGTTTCCGGCAAAAGAGACCCAATCCGGTGGTAAAACTGACCTTGAACGTTGAAGGCTGGATTCCAACCGACTTTGCGGAAGGCATTACCACCAAAAGAGGTCATCTGGAAGGCCCAATTGTACTGTCTGATTTTTGCGAGGAAATGTTTGGAGTCTGGGCTGGAACACTCCAACAGAGCTTTCAACGGAGCAGGTAGCTCTTGAAAAGGTGGCAACTGTACCTTACCGTCTGAACAACACAAACCTGCAGATTCTCCAGGCCATTTTTTTGGCATTGGAATGCCCAGAGACAACTGACATGGATTCTATTTGGAGGTCTTTGCGAACGGAAAGCCTCAAAACTGTCTCATAGTTGAACGCCAGCTTAAACCAAAACTGCTTTGGTGGGCTACAGAGCCCTCGCTGTGCATGGCGGCGCTAGTTAACAGTCTGCAACCTTTCAAGCCTTTCAGTAGGTCCCTCTACAGCTCTAGCACCGGAAGTTGAAATTGCATCGCTTTGTCGCCTTGTGCGCTTTTGCGCGGAACTTTCCGACGCTCTTGCAGCAGAAGCTGCAGCGGCGTCATCTGCATGGTGTGCGATTTTCTCAGCCATGGATTCCTGGGACCGTCGAATGGACATTGCTGCAGCTTTCGCTGCGTTACGTGCGGTTTTCTCAGCCGTGGTCTCCTGGGACCGTCGAATGGAAGTTGCAGCGGCGTCGGCTGCATTGCGAGTAGCTTTTTCGATGCGGGCTCTGTCGAGACCGCAAAAGCGCTTGTGATGAAGCCGCTTTTTTGTTGTCTTGCAAGCGTTTAAGTGGTTTCCTCTTACTTTTCAACGAATATGTGTAAACTGATTTGAAGTACAAACGGTAGTTACGTTCACCAAGTGTTTCATGTGACAAAACATACTGCCTCCGTTTAGATTGATTGGAAATCCTCAAAGAGGCCTCTACCTCGGTTTCCTCCTCCCGCTTTCTCTTTGCCGCAAGGGCTCTTTTAGAACGCCTGCTAAGGTTAACTCGCCATGGTATTTTGGCACGCTTAACAAAGCTGCCGGGTCGGTCATCGCCACGACACTCAGAAGAGTGCAAAGCAGAGGTTGAAGTAGACGCCAGCCGCTTCTCCCCCAAGGAGACGCACTCAATGGAATCCTGCTCCCGTTTCCCCTTAGCAGGTGAGGCTTTTTTAGAACGCCTGCTAAGGTTGCATCGCCTGTGTGTTTTTGCAGCCTTTGCAGAGCTGCCGGATTGGTCATCGCCACGGCACGCAGAAGAGTGCAAAGCAGAAGTTGAAGTAGACGCTATATGATCATCTGTAACCGGAGTTATTATGTGCTCATCCGCAGTCGCCTACTCTGCATGTGTAACGTTAATGGTATTAGGGGTCTTCAGTTGCTGACGTGCGGATGTTCGTCGTGTAGGAGCCATTTGAAGGGTTGTAGAAATGCTGTGTAAGAAAGCGAATAGAAGTTGATGCCGAAGCTGAAGCGGTGCAACCTCGTTGTATACGAAAACTAAAAATGCAGTGGAGCGGTATGAAAAAGCTTCTCCTAGCTATGGGCCGTGCTTTCTGGCAGCACGAAAATGGCGTTGTAGGAAGAGGTTACGCAACCAAAACGTTAAAGCGTTGAAGGTTAAAAAGTAGTGAAACACTGAGGTGTACTGGGCCGCGTAATAAAGGCAGAAGATAAGTAACTTGCGACAGCAGTTAACTGTTCCATAGCAAAACTGAACTAAGAAAAGGTAGAAATAGGTATGGAACGCTAAGATGGCCTGGGCTGCGCATTAAAGGCAGCACACGGGGATAAAATGGGTAATGCAAACGTATAAGCAAATAGGCAGTGAAGTACTGAGGTGTAGTGGGCCGCGTAGTAAAGGCAGTATACTTCATCTTACAGTGAAAACTGTAATGTGGAGGTAAAATAGGTTGGGCAAACGATTGAGTAAATAAGTGTTGTGGAGTGATTTCATAGTGGAGGCTTGTATTTGTACTAAGTCGGTCCTAAAATAGGTCCGACGAACAAAACGTTAGGAAATTGATATATAATAGGTATAACGCAGAGTAATCTAGTTGTGGTCGCAGATACTTTAGTATTCGACTGTCCTCCAGCATCGACTAACTGACCGACCGACTCACCGACTGCCTCTTTACTCTTACTACGCCTACTTATTATAGGTGGGAGAGTCTATTAACTATAGAATAGGTGTGTTCCACTATAACAATAAGTAACTTGCAACAGCAGTTAACTGTCTAATAGCAAAACTGAACTACGAAAAGGTAGAAATAGGTATGGAACGCTAAGATGGACTGGGCTGCGCAGTAGAGGCAGCACGCGAAGATAAAATGGGTAATGCAAACGTTTAAGCAACTAGGTAACTTGTGGTAGCAAGAAGCTGTCAATTAATCCAAGGACAGATGCGTTAATGGCGATCAAATCAAGACGTGAAGACGGATGCAGCCGTGCTGAAGGTATTTAAAGGAAGCGTGACTTGTTATTGATTGATGTAGCCTGGACAATGGCTTAGACCAATGAATGTGCTTACGCAAAATGGAAGATGCTAGCGCGCATTCACGCACGCACGATTTGGCAAGCGCAAGGCTTGGCCGTAAACGGGGTCAAGCTGCCTGCTGCATATGCAGATTGGCTCTAACGCACGTGATGCCGGCGATGAGAAGCTGCAATGAAGTGTTTGCTCGTTTGGTTTGTGCGACAACGAAAAGCCGTTAACCGTTTGCCGGCATTAGCTTTGAAATGGATTGGGAGGAAGCCCTGCTGTTTTAGCGCAAAAACTCCTCGTCAGGTCTGGGATCCGGCCTGGGCTCGGGGAAAAGGTTTAAAGAATTGGAAAATGGACTGCTGAGGTCGGAACCATTTTCCCCCAGCACGTATGCAGGTTATTTGTTTTTCAGTAAAGACGCGAATAAAGGAATTACTTATTTTGGTAAGATGCGACGATAAAAAAACCAATTAAACGAATTAAACGATTAAACGAATATGTTTCATTTGCATTTGGCTCAAAGTCAGGGACCTGGTCGTCCATTGCACTCTGATATGAAAAAAGCTCGAATTTCATAAAATGGCCCGCACCCATTCCAGAATTTGAGGTCAAATGTGGTTTTCTGGACAACACCACTCTGCAAATTTCGCATTCCTCCTGTAACAGATTTTTCGATTATCGATTTTTTCGGAACCTTCGAACTGAAAAAAATTAATCATTTGCACTTTTGAAAACCGCATCGAAAGTAACAACGCCAACGACAGAACCGTAAAACATTTTTAACGTCGGCCCTGGTGACTGATCGTCCATTTGCGACGCCTCTGTTTGGGGGGCACTCAGGTTGAAAGTTATGACGTCTTCAGCTGTTCGCTCCCTCATGATGACTATCGGTCCGTTCCACGCCTGGGCTGATCGTTGTGATTGATCAAACAGGATCCAGGGATTGCCGCAAGCTTGAGTTCAGCAGGGGATAACACAAAGAAAAAGAAAAAAACTCACAAGGTCAAAAATTTTGAAGAAAAAGGTAACAACTTCTTATATCTAAATGTTCGTTACACAAGATTATTCCTACCTCCCGACCCGTTTTGTGGATCATACAACTTTAAAGAAATTTGCATTTCAGGGTGTGGATTGGTTTCGACACTGGGCGCTTTTACCTGTCGTTCAGACCTGTCGGCGACTTCTTCTCTTCGGCCGATTCACTTCGGTTTGAGTTGGGCGAATTTCTTCACTTCGACTTGGGTTGGAAATTTTCTTCATTTTTCTGGCCTTCTCATAATTTCTTCTTCGTCTGAGGCGCAACCCCAACTGATTTTTCGCTTAAAAGGCAGTCAAAACTGGGGTGCAATCTGTCGGGGGGTTTTCTTGATAATTCTAAAGACGTATTATTTCTGATTTTTATCGATTTTACTGTGCCTCTGGGGGAGGCGCATACCCCTTGGTCCCTCGTATGTCAGGTGACCGACCAATGGGGGTTGGTCGGGCATCTTTCCTCCTCCCTCGCACACGTGACCGCTCGCCAATGAGACTATGGTCAGGTGTCTCAGTCACATGATACATATCGTGGTCAATGAAATCTTCCCTCCTTCCTTCGTGACGTCTCTAATCGGGGTGTAAATCCGGGGCTTTGTTCTAGAAGAAACACCTTCTTAAAAAAACAAAATTTAAAATTGTGATCGAAACGCTATCCGTTCGTGGTTGTCAAAACAAATTGGATACGATCTAAGAAAATTTTCCTAACCTGTCGGCGTCCTGTAAGCATTCCATTTTTTCGATTATCTCGATTTTTTTGGGTGGTTTTTTAACCTGAGTCTGGGCCGAATGTTTTGTTTTCGTATACATTTCCCCATCTGTTAAATCATCTCAATGACACCTTTTCGTTTTATTACTTATCAATATTTTTTCATCCTAAAATTTTATTTCTTCAGGCAAAGCCATTTGCAAACTTGACCTGGTGAAAGCCGCATCGAAATTTCGGGTACTTTGACTTAGATATCTTTTGACACCGGCCTGGGCTTATGACCGGGGTAACAACGCCAACGACAGACATATTTCTCATCTCAGACAAAGACAACAAACCGAAAAAAATAAAGAAATTTATGAATATCTCTTTTCAGATAGTAAAAAATAGATAATAATAATAAACCTTCGTATATCCCCTATGCCCTGGTCGCAGCATGGACGTTCTAAAATTTATATTAAATCTACATTTTCAACAAGATATCTATTTCGTTATTTTCGATCTCGTTAAACGAGCTGACCACGCGAGTAACGAATATATATTTTTTTAACTTATAATGCTTATATAAATATTAAAGATAATAATTAATTCAGCAAACCTTCTATATTTTCAGCAAACCTATATTTTCAGCATACCTAATATATTTTCAGTTAATTAAATAATTTCTTTGCAAATCTAATGAAACCGGCTATTTTTTACTTATTTTGATAATTCCATATGTTTCCGCTTAGATTTCCATATGATAACAATGCTTATTATGAGCACCGCTATCCTTCTAGCTGATAACTGAATTTTAAAAAGACAGATATAAAGTCTTTCTATAAAAACACGTTGAATTTAATAATAAACGTATTATGAGAAAAAATTGCTTTCATATAAGAACTTTAAAAAAAACTGAGTTAAAATTAGATAAACCGGAGAAATATTTTTTAAAATATGCTTTTAAAATTATTATGATAATTAAATATTACCGCTAATGTCCTAAATGGTATTTTCCTACACGCAAGAGACACATCTGCAACTGGATAGCATGCCACTAGCGTTTAACCCTGGTGACCCGCTGCCGAATCGTCGGCGACATCATCTCGGCAATGTTACCAATGGCGAACCGCTAGAGGCCCACCGGTGACCCGCCGTTGGCCTGCTAGATGACCGCTAGCGTTGCTATTAGCGGCCCGCCAACGCGCCACTAACAGCTTGCGTGTAGGGTTGTTCGTAATATATGAGAGAAAATGATATATAGATTCATATACTAGAAAAAATATTATAAAAATCAATGACAAAGTAGAAAAAAATATTTTATGTGATACGTTTCGTCCTTTAGAACTTCGTCTAACTAAAATGATGCTTAGGTTGTTGTAACTACATAGTAAATACATTATAAATAGATAAATAGCCAGTTAGTTATGTCCCATGCGTGATACACGGCTTAGGCGATCATGCATCCTTCGGTAAATGACTGACGAGGCAGATTATCTTTTCCCGCAGTAGGTTGCCATTTCGTTCTGCAGTAGACCAGTTGATATCGAAAGCTATAGAACCCGGTCTGTCGTGCTATTTACCCATAGCTGTGGGGAGAAGAAGAGGATTCATACCTTTCCCAAGGGTATTAGCACGTAAGTGAATGTAATGGATTCGACTGGAATTCGAACTCGGTTCCCCGATTCCTCAATCCAAACCGCTATCCATCACTCCAAAACATTAATTACAAGTATTGTTTTGTTCTAATAATGTAGAGTGAGGTACACACAGACTACACTTCGCTTTACAGCAATTTATAAAAGATTTAGCTGCCTATAGGTGGAACACCGTGCCGGGGAGCAGTGA